GCGTTGAACACCCTGTTCTGATGACGCAAGAGTTGCAACTACGGCAGCTGAGAAGGCCATTCTTTGTGTTCTTACTGAGGAATTTTCGGAGTCTGATGAAATCGGTATAAATACGTGTTTAATACTGCAAAATACGCTGTCCAGAATAAAAGACAAACATTTCAGGTGAAGGATAACCCACTTCTTACCTCCGAGACTGTGTTATGATCTATATGACCTTATTATTTTTATTGTGAGTATTAGGCTTATCATTATTGCTGATCGCTGTTGTTGTGCTATGATATTGTAATATTTACCATTATATAATCAGAGGAGTATAGAAAGGTTTATGAAAGTGTCACTCCACAATACAATAGCAAAATATATAAATATGGATAGTATTTTTATGTTACATTAATCAGTGTCTAGCACACCTTCCTAAGGAAAGGATATGGCCCAGAAGATATTGCAATTACTAAATGATATTTAGACAGACTTAAAGAAGTTCCAGATCTATACATGTGCTCTTATTATTTAAGTTATTTTGCCTTTAATGTAAATAAACATGTGCAAACAATATACTTGCTCTTGTGAATTTATTTTGATGTTAATTACATTTACTTACAAATTCCCACTGTATATAGCAGTATGCGCATCAGTGTGTATACAACAGCCATAGCAAGATTTGTGTCAGCTTATTTACAGCATCCTAGGGATGTAGAAACTTCTACTATGACTTTTGGACCCATTGTGCGAGCTGTCTCTTTAATACCGCGCGTGGTTTATATACATGTTGCTGCTGACTGGGCTGACATTTTTGACACACCCACCAAACAAGAGAAAACGTATCTCTAACCCCATTGCACACTGTTTCCAGGAAACATGTTGTTCAACCGGAAACCGTAGCAAAACGTTGTGCACCGGTTTGAGCTTGAACGTGCCTCTGAGCTCCTCTTAACACTGACCAATAGGAACACATTGATATTACGGCGCTGACTCTCTCACATACAATTATTTGACGTTATCAGTCCAAAAAATAAAAAAAAAGTATACAGAAAATGCTAATTAAATCAAATCAATAAAAATAAAATATAGACTACAACTGACTGTATTTAATGTATTGTGCCCAAGATTGAATGACTTTGTTTTAAGATATTTGAAAACATTTTAACATGCTGCTACATGCGCATTCAGTTGATCAGCAGTTTCTAGCCATGCAGCCTTTCTCTCTGGTTTTATGACAGCTGTATACACTATGGTTATTAGTAGAACATTAAAACATTACAATATAAAATGCTCTTTAAAGCATTAAAAACACTCAATTAAAAGTTTAAATCACTAAATTAAAAATTTAAATAAATAATATAAAACAGACTATATTTTACATGATAAGAGGAATACACATGAACTAATT